GGGCATGTGAGTGAGCATGTGTGCTTGCACTGGATCGTGCGCGTGCGCGTGCCGCATCGGGAGCACCAGCAGGTCTGCCATGCATGCAGTGGCTCAGCAGCCCCAGGTGCATGCGTCATCAGCTTGCGGGTGAATCAGCGGCACATTGTTCTGCTTGAGCGGGGGGTGGACAGCGCTGTGCAGCGTGCTGCGCCGCTGCCCCCTTTGCTGCTGGTGCCGATCCACCCCACCACATCGGCCATGCAGGGCGTGCTGGGCCGCACCGCGCTGGAGTCTGTGCTGCGCACGATGGGCGTGCTGGCGGCCGGGGAGAAGCTGCCCACCGCGCTGCCCGAGGTGCGGCAGGCGACCGCCTTGCTGACGCGCCCGCCAGTCCCACACGCGCCGGGCAGCCCTGACGGGCCACATTCGTTATATGCCTGTCTTGATGTGTCCCTTGGGTGTGGACTCGCCGGTGTGCTTCATATTGGCGGGCCGCTGCTCTCGGAAGAGCTGTGCACCCAAACCTCGCGGCTTTCTAGGTGGAGGCGCGCTTCAAGGTGCTGTGGGCCGACCATGGCGATGACATCAGCAGGCAGTACGCTGGCACGGGTGAGCGCGTGGGCGGCGGTCCTGGGGCGCGGCACGCGCGCGGACCCCCATCTTCGGAGACCCCGCGTGCTGGGGCCGTCTCTTTACGGCACCAGCTGATCGCCTTGCAATCGTTCATCAGCAGGCCTCCCGCCCAACAGCACCCACTGACGTGCGTGCGCGTGTGCGTCAGAGCACGCGCGCTCGTGCACACACACACGCACACACACACACACACACACACACACACACACACACACACACACACACACACACACCATCATCGCGACAAGCGCACGCACGCATGCGCGTCGCGCCTCCACGCCCCCCCCCTTACAAAGGCGCCCTGAAGAGCGGGTTCACGCGCACCGGCAAGCGCACGGTGGGCGGCATCTCCGACGACGGCGTCAAGTCAGCCGTCAGGTACTACCTCAACAACTTCCACGTGAGCGGGGCCATGAGGGGCCAGGGGGCAAACACCAGGGGCGAAACCAGGGGGCAGGCTGGCGCCGGAGGTCCCTGCCATCCCTCGGTCCGCGTCTTTCCACCCCGCTCTGTTGGCACCCGGCGGCGTCTGAGCACCCCCATGCGGGGACGCACGCAACAAACCACCCTGCCACCTCCTCCCTTGAGACGCACATCTACCCCCTCCCCCACCGACGCCCACACACCACCACCACATCTCCCCCCTACATACACCCGGTCCCCTCCCAGACACACCATCGCGCCCCCCGCGTATCCCCACATGTTCGCTTCTCCCTTCCCACCTCCCCCACACACACCCCCACACTGCATCCACCCCTTCCGGGACCGAACCCCTTTCTCCCGTGTCTCAACTCCCCTCCCCCTGTACCCCAGGACGGCCACAAGCAGGACGCCCTGGACCTTATCAGCGGGGCCTACGCCGTCAAGCCGGACGTGAAGCTCAGGTTCAGGCGGCAGGTGGGGGGGCACAGGGGATGACGGGGCCGCCGGAGGGGCGGGCGGCGCGCGCGGGGGCCCGACGGGGGCGGGCGCGTGACGCCTGGATGAGGAGCTGTTCTGGTCGCCGCCCCGGAAGGCTCGCGCAGGCCGCGGCGGCAGCGCCTGATGGGGGGCCCAGGTGGCAGCAGGGAACGGCGACATTCTGGTGCGCTTTGGAGCGCTGTCCTCTGGTCAGTCGGTGCCAGGCCACTGCAGATACCCGCTCCTGGC